TACTCGTACAACCAACTGCTACATAACATTTCCTGCGTTAAAGAAGAGCTTAGTTGGCCAAAAGTTCTCCACCGACGCAGAGTTGCAAGAACCTGTTAAAAAATGGTTCCAACTACAGGATGCGCAATTTTTTGAAGATTGAATCCACAAACTACTAACACGTTATCAGAAATGTGTTCAACTGGGTGGAGATTATGTCGAAAAGTAAGGTAAGACAATTCAAAGCCTGAAATTTTCACATATTTAACCAATTGACTGTGTTACAAGCTTCTTTACGGTGAGCGCATGTACTCGTTTGAGGAGCTTTGCCGCGCTCGAATATTTTGAACACGCGTCGACGAGAGATGGGCGCGGGAAAAATGACGTCACTCGCGAACCGGTAAACCAAATTTAAAAAACGAAGGCTTTTTGAAAAGCTGAGAGTATGACGGTAAAAAGAATTTTTGCCGTTTTCATTTATCTTCATTAGTTTTGGAGAAAATAAAGATGTGTACTTACTTTACGAATGCCCCTCGTGACTACCAACTTGTCAAATTTTGAATTTGAGGCGGGAAGCCAGGATTGTTGCAGGCAAACCGTTACAAAACATGTTCGGGCATCACACGCTCATGAGCCACAGCGGGTGGTGCGTGAGGTGTCGCACCATCCAGGAAAGAATATACTGTAGAATGAACCCACTCGACTGGACAAAGTTTTCTGCACAAAATTCTGATAGCAGATAGGCTTCTTTTGTATAAAGTAGTCAAAATTTCAATACTTAAAAACTAGGATCTGTAGGAGACGAAAAATCTCATTCTTGATCAACACCTCATGAGCCTCTGCAGATGGTGGGTGAGGTGTCGCGCGATCCAGGAATGAGATTTTCCGTCTCCTGCAGATCCTAATTTTCAAGTATTGACATTTTGACTAATTTATGCAAAACAAGGCTATCTGCCATCAGAATTTTGTGCAGAAAACTTTGTCCACTCGAGTGGGTCCATTCTACAAAATATTTTTTTCCTGGATCGCGCGACACCTCATGCACCACCGGCAGTGGTTCATGAGTGTGTGATGCCCGAACATGTTTTTCAGCTACCATCCTGGATTTGGGACTTTCTCCAAATCAAATGTGAGTTTTGACTTATAATTTGTATTCTGCGACCAATAAAACACAGGAATCGATATCTCACTCGGTGTTGTTTCATGGTACCTACTGATTTATTCATCCCTGCAGCGGCAATTATGGCCACCTTTTGTAATGGGGGGATGCGGGGGTGTGTTCCGGGAAATTCGGAATTGCAAACGTTGCTTCCCTCACCCTGGACATCTAAACCACGTATATTAAAAAAAAAGAAAAAACTAAGGAGCAAAAAATAATCATTCTACTGCCAACATGTTTCAGACGAGCAGTTGCACTAAACTTGGAGAGAATCGATGAAAAGCAGTGGGAAACTTGCATTTAGGTATGAAAAAATTTCAAATTGCAATATCTCGAATATAGGATCAGCCAGGATTTTGATTTTTCGCGATTTCAAGTCCGCACGTACCACACATTAAACCCCTGCAAACCGTATTTAGTGGGGGCCGATAACTGGAAAATATCATAAGAATCGTGTACCTCTGGAAGAAAGCATCAGATTTTCAGGGATTCATCTCGACCCTATAGACATTCGATGTAGACATAAACCCCAAAAATCTGAGCCCCCTGCAGGGGGCAGGGGCCCCCCAAATTTTGAATTTTGAATTACTATACTGAACAGTTAATGTGAGCATATTTTTTTTACATCAGGACGAAGGGAAATTTTACTTGGAACAAAATTGACTCTTATGAATTTTTCTGTGGGATCGATATTTAAGGCGCAAAACGAGAAAACCATCGGGGGACAAGGAGCCGGCCGTTCTGAGGCAGATCCGCGCGCTGCGCTGCCTGCCCCAGGGCGCGCGCGGCGGCAGGGCACGGTGTTGCCGACGAAACGACCGCTTGTCTTTGTTTAATCTCAACGATATGGAGTTTGAAAAATAATTATAAATATACCTTACTGCCTAAACACTTTTCCGTATATTAATAAGACCTAATTTTTATAAGAAATACATGAAAACAAGTCCGAGGCGAAATACTCTAACAATAAACGATTTCATTTTTAATAACTCCAAATTCTTTTAGTTAATCAAGAAATATGCATATTTCAAAAAATAGAACAATATTTTAAATGAATAAAGAAGAATAAGATATCTGAATATTAAATTATCGCCTCTTTTTATTGAGTCATGCTTGAAGATCATTAGGTACCATTACCCTAAGACATAAAAAATGGATCGAGCAGTAAAAAAAAAAAGATAAGAAAATTTATATTATCTTCCTATTTTCATTTTGTTCTGTGGAGTTTGGAGTGGAGTTGGTAACATTTTTATTGAAAAATATTAATATAGGAGGAATTTCATTTTTTTCGCAGGTTCTGATTCTCTAAAGAACCTCTGAGAAGGACCTGTACCCCAAGAAGAAATTCATTGTATTTCTTCTTTTCAACCCGCAAATCACATACCGATTATTAATTTGCATGGAACTCATGGAGGAGTTTTAGGTATGTTGGAGACATTTCGCAAGAAACAGTATACTTGTGAAATGTGCAATATATTTTATCGCACAGTGTAACACTGGTCAAATTAGCTTCAGAGACTATCAGGTTAATGTCTCGTCAAAACATCAACAAATCAGTCAAAATCCGTAATCAGTTGCAAAGTTACCGAGATTGAGGGATATCGTGTAATGCGCGATTTTATTGATCACATAAGAGCAAGATAGGTCCCCAGCAGGCGCGACTTCCCATCTTTCAAATGGATCGTTTTCGCATGATTAGCATACATTGGCGGCTAATTATTACGTAATAATATTTCTGCTAGGTAGTGCACAAGAATCAGCCCAACAAAGGATTTTTGGGGGTCTTTTTCTATCAAGCTTTCTCAACATTTTTTTACTGCAAGTTCTGAGGGCGTTTTTGGTCCTTCTACACGGAAAAAATAAGATTAGTGTTGGGCACTACTGGCCGTTTAGTGGTGAGCAGATGAGGGCTGGCGTCTAAGCGCTACACAGCTCAACACAGGAAGGCAGTAGAGGTGGGCACTGAACAACAGTAGTGCCAATCAGATGCCGCGAGACGCAGTTGCGCTTAACAGGTGTAAATTCGCTCATCAACTCCACGAGCCGCCATAGCCTGGTGGAAACGCGCTGGTCTACCATCAGCGCGATCCGGGTTCAATAACCGGCGGAGGCATATCATATTTTACGCTCGCCAAAATCACTTTAGGGTTGGACAGTGGACACTACTATTTCCTTAATGACCCAGCCTCGAACTGTTTAGTATCCAGCACTACTCGGAGTAGGTGGCTCCATTTGACCTAACCCTCGTTAGTGTCTAGCACTAACGTGTAGGTCCCAACCCTAAACTCGTTTTTTCCGTGTATAAAAATGTCCACACGCATAACTGATACCTATACCAGAGTGTTCCTTACAGAGAGGAAAATAAGTATGTTTTTATTTATACTCATTTTTCACAAAATTAGGTTCCCTGTCCTAGAAGTCTAAAGGCCGTCTCCTGGGAACTTTAGCGTACGTAAGCATAATTATTAGATACTATCCCGGTGGAGCAGCATCGAAAAAAACGGAACATGCAAGAATACACTTTGAAATCATTTTTTCAGGTCATCGTGGTGTGCGAAGAAGATTTGTGATTTTTAGCCGCCCCCCCCCTCCCTTCCCGAGACAACTATCTATGCGTCAGATTTTAATCCGTTCAATTGATGTCCGATTCATGTATCTCGTATGTTTAAATAAAACTCGACGATTTAATATAACAAAACAAACCGGAACTTCAGCACTCAACCTCTTCTCCTTCTGTTGCCGTGCACTCGCTTGTATACATACATTACATCCAAAGGTCATGCCAAGACTTTTTAGGCAGTGCGCTTTAAAACTGCACATCGTTGAGATTGAACAAAGACAAGCGGTCGTTTCATCGGTAACACCGTACTGTGCCGCCGTGCGCGTCCTTGGGTAGGCAGCGTAGCGCGCGGATCTGCCTCAGAATGGCCGGCGCCTCGTCCCCCGATGGGCTTCCCCGTTTCGCGCCTTAAATATAGATCCCACAGAAAAATTCATAAGAATCAATTTTGTTCCAAATAAAATTTCCCATTGTCCTGTTGTAAGAAAAATTACGCTCATATTAACCGTTCAGTAGTTATTCAAAATTTGGGGGGCCCCTGCCCCCCTCCCCCACGGGACTCAGATTTTTGGCGTCTATGTCTAAATCGAATGTCTATAGGGTAGAGATGAATCCCTGAAAATTTCATGCTTTCTTCCAGAAGTGCACGATTGTTACGCTTATCGGCCCCTTAATTTGGGTACATTTTTGTCGCATTTTTATTTTTTGCTTCTAGACCACTTTTTCAGCATTGTTTCTTCCCTACCCTGTGTTGTGTCGCTTGAAAAGTACCTTCAACAGCTAAGACGAAGCGCCAAGATGGAGATTGTCATATTATTATGACGCAGAGACTGTCACGGCAACGTTTTGAGTGCGATTTGAATCACGTAGAGTTTTGTTCGGAGGTTTGAATTCACGCATCTAACACGATTAATATCTCAGTCAAGGATTAATATCAGCAACTGTCATTGCCTAAATCGTGTTCTACGTGAAATTTTAATTGGACAACGTGCGCCTATCAGAATGCTTCAATTCGTACTTGCCTTATCTGTCTTTCCATTGTTATTGATTGTATACTGTATCGGAGTGCACTGTATGTGGTCTATTCACCAATTGAAGATGCTTTTCTTATTGAAATTTACCGTAAGCAAAACGATTTTAGTTACAATTTCTTTTTAGCATTGCGAATTGCTTAATTTTTTTTTCACATATGGTACTGATTTTATTGATCTTCTTAAATCATTACTTGATCGAGTGATGTAAACGTATTACCTAAGTATAATTCGTATGTGGTCTAATATTCCGGCTTGTCTTACTAAACAGGTTATGGAGTCTATAAACAAACATTCGAAACAGCGAGGACGGGTCATCGAATTTCGGGAGCTTCTCTACGGCTATCATAGAGTAAACCCTCTGTTTGGGGCCGACTACGTTCTCGACATGCTCCTCATGTATAAAAAATACCGCGGCAGAAAAATGACCGTGCCTGTTCGCAGACACGCATACCTCCAGCAACAATTTACCGGTATGTATGAGACTTTTCGAGGAGTGTACATATAAACCTAGAGAGTTTCCGATTAGTTGATTAATAGAATTTTTGGATGTTTGAAAACTCAGTAGGCAAACCACCACTAATTGAATCGAATAAAAATTAAAACGACATTTAATCGATTAATAGGTATATTTTAAAACGGTTGATTTTCAACATGACAACCGGTACCCTGGGATGCCCGTCCGAGTTCGGACTAGGATAACCTATAGAATCGAAGCGGGCACTCGCCGATGCCGTTGCTGTCAGTCTGTATTTCCTTGAATTGGACGTATCTCTATCAAACGGACCTAAGCGCCATAGGGTGAGGAAGGTAGAGGGGGGCTTGTATTGGCGCGGGCGTCCGGCTTATTCCGTCCTATACTCGCAATGCTTTTCCATGGCGCTTAGGTCCGTTTGACAGAACGCGCTATCCGGGATTCTAAATTCCTCAAAAGGAACTCAAATTGGCGCTTAGTTCTGTTTGATAGAAATGCGTCCCATTGTAGTCAGCTTTTTGAAGAGTGCCGCTGCCGTGGAGCTCCGGAGGCTCGCGTGTTAGTCGAGGGTAATTTAGCAAGCATAGACGTCCCCAGCGCCACGCCGATTCCATGATGGAAAGCAACAATATTAGTCATATGTTGTTCGACGAAACAACTCGGAACATCTCGTAACAGTCGTATTTTGTTCGAATGTTATTTATGTTAAGGGGCGTGGCCTATTTTTATTCTTTTCATTATTTTGCACAATTTGGCAACGTTTTGCGACATTGTTTCGAAACAATCGGAGCGTCCTCAGAGCTTTGTTACGACTGTTGTGTAAATTTGTTAACAAGATTTCTAACCTCATTTCTAGCTGCTTTGCTCTCACTGGTTGTGAAAAAGTGACGCAAATAACACAAGATCGGTAACAGGAAACATTCGTTGCGGCGAACAAAATACGACTATTCTTGGAAATTTCTACATTACACAGGTTCATAGAAATAAATAACAAAAAAGTAGATCCATTTTTGGAAAGAAAGAAGTGAATAACACACGAACCAAATAAAAAAAAAAGGTATATATAGGTATAGTTATTAAAACGAAGAAAAATAAATGAATGAAATTGAATAAAATAAAATAAAAAATGAATAAATATATCATATAAATTAGCAGAAGTAAACTAAATTAAAAAAAGTGAGATAGATTAACTCAAATAATAGATAAATAGATGGATAAGTAAATGGATGAATGAATAAAATAAAATAAAAATGTATTAAAGTAAATAAGTAAATAAAATGAAATAAAGAAGATCAAAATAAAAAATTAACAAGTAAAATGAAATGTATTTAAATAAATAAGTAAAATATGTTAAATTATTTAAATAAAATAGTAGTAGTGTCTCGAATCATTCGGCTCCATAGCATCTTTCGGCTAAAACTCACCTGAAAAATATGAAAATAAATCAATAAATAAAAAAAACTATAAATTAAAAAAATCAATTAATAAAAAAAAATCAACAAATAAATAAAATGGATTGAAAAAGAAATAAAATAAAAAAAACAACCGAAAAGCCGGAAGTCCGCCAACCAAAACTTAAGCTACGGGACGCGCGGGGGCGGAGGGACGGGACTGAAGATCCCCAGACTCCCTTGGGTGCACAGGTGACCCCCTGCTCACTTCCTTGGGAACACAGGGGCTTTCCTGGCTATTCCTCAGGGGAGCACATGTGATCTCGTGTCCAGCCCCGGGGGAAATTTTTATCAGGGTATGACTTGTGAAGCATCTAAAGTAGATAAAGACGAAGTCTTTTGTCGCACTGTATCCCAAGTAGCCAAATCCAACCAAGAAGTTGCAACTAAGTTTCAACTTTGTTTCAACTTAGTTGCAACTAAGTTGTAACTTTCTTATCATTAAGTTGCAAGAGGTTCCAACTTTCAAACAACAAAGTGAATACTTCTTCAGATAAGTTGTAACAAAGTTGCAACTTTCGATGCATCCCCCAGGTGACCCACGGGGGGCGGGGGGAGGGGGTGGGGGGGG